GGTTGTTCGGAAAGTTTCTTTCATTTTATAAGGAAATAATAGACGCACAATATTTTTTGTTTTATATTAGTTTATTGAATTATGCACGACCGTAATAATAGAAATATAACGAAATGGACCATACCTAATTCAATAAAATAATATAAAACAAAAATTGTTCATCTATTATTACCTTATGAAGCAAAAGAAGCTTTTCGGACAACCTAATATTTATATTAAGATGTACCATTGGAGGCAACTGATCTCAAAAAATAATGAAGATAATACATGTATCGATATAAATATTTCTTATGAATAAATTTTAATTTTACTTTTTTAAATATAAAAATGCATTAGTACATATCTGTTTGTTCTACCTGTATTCTAAAATATATTCCTAATCCAACTGCAGTATGATATAAATATTTTGACAAATCGATATCAGTATCAAATAACTTAGCAATTAATGCACGATATGTAACAGAGATTAGTGTAAGGTGGTAACGATTAATCATTCTTACAATACACACATTAAAATGGCCATCTTTTTCTAACAGAAGCACTGGTACTAGTTTACGTTTATACTTGTTTATACTTGTAAAATGCATACTTGTTACATATTTGTATAACCAATACTTTTCATCTTACCTATTGGATCAAAATTGCTATATTGATTCTGAACTAGAAATTGCAGAAGAAAATAAGCATATACTAGAAATTTTTTACAAAATACATCTAATAAAATGGTCATTCTTTTTACTTTAAGAGAAATATCTTTTACAATATACAGTAATTTCCACTTTCAAAGATCAGTATACATGATACTAGTTTCTGAAAAGAGTAAGCTATATGAAAATGACTATAATTAATTATTTTAAATATCATCTCCAACGTATTAAAAAACTTTTAACTCACGTCTAAGTAACAAAAAAGCTTCTATAGGTTGTTGATTTATTAAGAATATTTCAGCAAAGAGCATAATAATTGCAGCATTAATCTTACAGAAATAAATTTGTGATTTTACCATACTGTGCATATCTTTAAGTAATATATATGCTAATTACCACAAATTTTTCTTGACTAAATTAATCAAAGCACATTTAGCAATATCAAACAATATTTGGTAACATACAGTAGTCACTCTAGTTTGGACTATAAGGTACATAAAAAATAAAATATATTTAGGAGAATTTTTAAATAAATGTTAACATTTAATTGTGTATCTTTATTTTATTTATAGTAATAATAATAGTCACATATTGGTTTTTGCCTATTGTGATCTTATCTCAATGAATACAAAGATTTTTCTTATTTTCTACTCCTATATTCTAATCATCCTTAAGTCACTAAGTGAATCTTTATTTTATTATAGTAAATTATGATAGAAGTAAACAAGTTCATACAAATTTAGCATTTACAATTTAAAATAATATAACACATAAATTTTATATGACAACTTGAGAATTAGCTAATAACATTTTATGTAATCGACAAAAACTTGTCTAATTATTTTTGTCAGATTTAAACAACAAAAAAATATATATATACATATATATATTCACTATTTTAGTTTATAAGTATAAAACTTAATTTAAAAGTATAAAATATGTATACATAGAAATATATGTATGCCCAAATATAAAAAAGAAATAATATAAATAAACACCCAAGAATAACTATACAGGGAGTTCAAAAAAGACCATTCAATATTTATATGATACATAAGACGCATTATGCTGGTATTAAGTCATTTAACATAATAATAATCTATGTTTACTAAGGCTCGTTTATTCAGTATGCTGTGTATACAAATATTAAATGGTTTTTTTGGACACTGTATAAATTATGTTTGTGACAACAGCAAATATGTAAAACAAGAAATTTTATTTTTTTGTTTATCTATTGTATATAATTTTAAAGAATAATTTTCATCTTGTACATTATCACTGTTATCTTTTTCATTTCTCTCCTTGTGTCCTTCTCAAATATATTTATATGTTCACTTGTCTCTAATAACTTCTCTGATTCATTTACCGTAGAACATGAATCTAGTGATCCAATGCCTTGATCATACTCAGATAATATATCTTCTTTTATTCCTTGAATTTTGTTTTTATTCTTAACCAATTGTTTAAAGGATGACAGTATATTATAATTTATTTTACAATTTAGTTTATGGATAATATTAAAATTTACATCCTCAGTATGTGATTGTGTGCTTATACATTCTTGTAAAATAATTTCTATAATTTCTGGATTCAGATGTCCTATCTTAAGCAATAAATTTTTCAATGTAATCCAATATTCACCGGGCATAATATATTCTTTCAGTATTTTTGAAACCCAATTTATGAATTCAAAGTCATTATTATTCACAATGGTTCATAGTGTATCAGTAATCACTTTGATAGAATATCCAGTTCTTTTCATCCATTCAATAGTACTGAATGCTATATCATTGGTTAAAACTTTTAACTCGTATAATTTTTTAACTATTTTTAATATATAACGATTATATTATACAATATATAATATATAAGATTCACTTTTCTTTGGATGGTACACAATGTCTACTTAACTTTCTTTTTTTGGGAGTATTATTAGTACCATTCCAGTTAGTACTGTTACATTTTTGACTTAATAAATCTTTGCTCTTATGAATTCTTATTTGGAGTATGTATTACATTATTTCCCTCTTCAACAAGGTTTTTATTGTTACAGTCTGAATTGTAATTTTTATTATATTTATCTTTTTTTAAATTTTGATTTAATTCTGATAGCCAGTATATCTGTCTTCTTTTTATCCGTATTTTGTCTATAATTGATTTAGTATGTTGTTTCCATGTAAGCTGTGTGTTTAAGTGGAGTCCTAGGTATTTAACTTGCCTTGTTTATGTTATGTGAGTGCCATTCAATTGGATGTAATATGATTAGTGTAATATGGTTGCATTTACTGGGATTTGTTTTTATTTGTTTATCTTGTATCCATTTTTCTATTTTTGTGATGTGCCCTTGTAGTAATGTGACTGCTGTTTCTGGATTAGTGTGCCTGACTTGAATAAATATACCGATCGAAATTAGAAGTTACGTGTGTAAACAGACATTAGGACAATTGATGTTACAGAGTCAAAAAGTACAATGAATATTTATATATATTATAAGTTCGTCGTTCCAGGGCCGTTTGAAGCCTTAAGTGCCCATTTTTTTCTTACAACACAACTTATTTACCCCCACTTACTAAATTTTTATACCAACTAGAAGTACGAGGAGTTTGTACAGGCGCAAGTTACCATAAGTTACGAATATGCCTGTTATCAGTTAAGAAGTACAAAATTATTCGAATAATTAATTCCAACAAGAAGTGTTTATATTAACAGTTATACTGTAAATAATTAGTACATGAATTTTAGAAAGCTTTTTTGATTCTTTCATAAATTTATGACATTAAATTCAAAAACTTATTATAAAGAATTCAAATAAGATTATACAAATCTTTCACATAAATAAATTACAAGTACAATTAAGTGTAGGGTACGTTAAATTAAAAAGAAACAGATATTTTTAATTATATAAAAAATATACGTCTCTTTTAACTATGGAAGCAATATAATTTTTAAAGCTTAATAAAAACAGCGCTTGTTTCATACTACTGTAGTTGTTATAATCGAAGATACTGAGAACAATAGTGAACGCCCCATGGCATTCCAGAAACGAGGATATATGCAGCTTAAAAATACCAACGGTCAAGGAAGAGATCGTCAGGTACACAGAAAAATACAAGAAAAGAACGGCAACATCCAAACCAGCTGGCTGCTGAAGCGAGCAAAACTCTCATAGAAAAAGGACTAAAAGGAAAACACCTACCTGACCTTACTAAAGAAATAAGATAGTCAAACTCGAACATGGTATCTCGCTGGAGGTAGCCATATACATGTTATTTAGCAATTAAGTTAGAAAAATTTACCAAATGTCCAGCTCGACAAATTGTAAAGTACAAATTAAATAATAAAATAAAATAAAATTTCATATTAACTACACACAATGTATTTCAATCTATGTATTACAAATGAAACGTTTAAAATTTATGCGACTTTCCGCGTTTACATCCATGTATATATGCAAAAAATTTGAACTAAGGCCTCGTCACGTGACAGCCGTGTAAACGAATTATTATGTCAACCACTGATTGGAAAATTGCATTTCAATAAAAAAAAGCAATTGTGAACGTTTCTAGCTCGTGTAACCAACCTCAACGAAAGATTGTTCACGATATTTTTCCTAAAAAGCAGGCATACCTCTCTAAAATATGCTTAAGGGTCTGGAAACACGATACATTGGACTGTCTCTATAGCGTATCTGAAGAGAATCAATGGAGTGATATGCTCATAAGCTATTTCATTTGCCAAACACGTGTTAAGTGCACCTTGTAGAAGTTGTGACAACGACCATATCCAAATTCACGTCATTCCACGCTACCTGACAATGAATCTTTAAATTTTGACCTTACCTTTGCATACGGCCCAACACCAAATTTTTCCCATCACGTAGGCCACTCATCCTCTCCATGCTCTTCAACTTCGACAAACTCAACATATAAAACTGCGAGCATTCGACCACGAGACTTGTCTTGGGTACAGTCTTTTCTTTTTTTTTATTTAGTTGTTTACATTCACAATTTGTCCGATTTGGACATTTGGTAGCATTTGGATACAGTCATGACCGCGATTTGAACAACTATTTCAATAGTTTGTAACTTGGCTACTTCATTGTAATATTGTATTTTGTGAATAAAAGCATATAAAAATATAAAAGGACAGTCGAGTTAAGCAGTTGCTCAGCTCTTCCTTTTTTATCACGAATTTTACGTGACAAAGTCTACGACCAAATATAATTTTATGATCACCATTATTTAACATTCTTTTTTATCTCCATACTTTTTAACTGTGGAGATATTTGACAGATTAGTTATTCGACATAAAAATTATATTCAATCGTTAGCTTTAACTTTACAGAAACTGTTATTTCCCGTTAGGTATTTACGTTTACTTTTCACGTTTATTTTCCACGTTTATTTTGCACATTTAATTTTACAATACAAAGGGAAAGAGGAAAAATCTAACCAAGAAAGTAATGCCAGAGCTATTTAGAATTGTAAAAAAGTATCTAAGCTTCGAGGGAATATTTTTCTGAAAAAAAATCCACTAACGGATCTCACGTACATTATTATTAAAAAAATAGTACCCGAAGAATACAGCAGTCTTTCCATGGAAAAACGACATTGATTGCTATGTATACAAACTTATAAAAAGATTTGCAAAAATCAGTCAGTCTATGCTTGAGGTTGGTAAACAGTATTATCCAAGTTGTTAAAAGCCATTTGTTCATCGATCCAATCACGCGCTAAGGCAACATTGGCATAAACACCTGGAGTTCCACCTTCCGCGCAACCGATTCCCCATGCTACAATACCTGCTTGTAAATACGTACCAGGATTACTCTTCATGGGGCATACAAGAGGACCTCCTCCATCACCCTAAAAGAAAATTTTATATTCTATAATACATGATATATGATTTACGTGATACTACACGATAGTACATAACAAAAAAACTATAATGGATTTGACAACTGATTATAAGATCTATGTATAATAATTAATTTACTTTGCAAGTATCTTTCCCAGCTTCTCCACCAGCGCATATAAAGGTTTCGTGAAGACGGAAGTATTTTCCTAGTCTAGTTTCTCGAAGCTTGTCCTGACATTCTTTACGAGACACTATCGGCAATTCTACTTTCTTCAAGATTACCTGGTAGTGTCCTTCCTTACCTATAAACCAACAAACGTTCCAATTTAGAGGTTCGAGAATTTTTAAAATAAGATTGAATAGATCTGTTCAAATTGAATTTCGTAATTGTATTATGTTTATATCAGCACGCTTTCTGGTAGTTCGAAATCTACGTAAAACTGTAGGCGCTCGCCTGGAGATCTTTACCAAAAATGTCTCTTCCCCAGCCACTAGCGAAACATCGAGAATTATCGAACACAGCATTTCGTTCTGGCAGGCAAACGAGATCCACGTTGTCCACGAGATTCACCGGCTCAGACAAGATCAAAATGGCGAAATCATTAAATAGAGTGCCGGATTTATAATTTTCGTGAACGATTACTTTTTCTACTTTACGATCTTGATGAGGATATATTTCGTCCTTAGTTTGCGTGTCCCATTCTCCAGCACGAATTTTCAACTCAGATGGTTGTCTTCTATTGGAAAATTACGAGTGTTTAGTTACAAAATGCCAGGTGAATCGACGTCAATCATAATATTTAAAAGGACTAGATTATTTACCCTTGCACACAGTGGGCGGCTGTTAAAACAGCCAGCTTGTGAATCAAGGAACCTCCGCATTGATAAAGGTTTACTTTCTCATTTCCGATCATTTCTTCCTTCAATATAGCCACCATCCACGGGAACTCGCCAAATTGCGCTTCATTATCGACGGCGCCGGTAATTCTGAAACCAACGCCGTTCGGGTGTCTTTGCCCGCAACCTTTTCTCTCGATTGGCGGGGGCGTAATTACTTCGTTGGTCCTGTCTGGTGGCTTACAACAGACTTCCATGTAGTCCGCGCACTTACCCAATGAGGTTCTGTATCGTTAACATTGTGTATATCGTTGAGGTTATATTTCCATAAATCAGTATTATAATGAAGATACAAAGAAATAAGATGTAATTTATACAATGACGCTATAAAGATCCAAATGTACAAATTTCTGGCTAGACAAATTTCTCACTTCATATTTCAAAAGCCACATCAAAAGAATTTTAACTGTAATACTAATTAGAGTGGTTGACGATATTGCTTTCATTACATAAAACGAAAAATCTATTTGGAGTAGATCCAAAGATAGTCTCATGCAGCGTGCACATTCGATTCAATGAGAATTAAAGCTCACACGAACAAGTAATAAACAAACCTGACATCCACATATCTTGTTAGACAACGAATCACCGTACATGCAAAATCAGCTTTTCTGTGTATTTATTCACATTCGATAAATATGTCTATATGTTCTTAACGTAGATACAATCAATCCAATATTACTTGACAATCGTGCATTACTTGTGCCAATAACAGTGCTAACACTTGCCATTTTGAGACTAATCTTTAGAACTCACCCCACGTAGCTAGTCTCATCATTGAAACCGGACCTGATATCAATGATTGTTTCTCCGTCGTCTGAAATGGTGCCGTTTCGACATAGATAATACGTCACGCATGTACAGTCTTCCTGTGGTTGTTTCTTGTTATCTGTACCCAAAATAGTCGCCGCTGTAGTGGAAATTGGTTGGTTGGTTGGTTGGGTAAATACGTTCGATATTAAAGCATTCAACTCATCGTCCACCATAGGGGTCTGAGTTGAAGAATTTGTCCCAGATAGGCTCGCTATCAAGGAATCCAATCCACCATCGTTTTGGGGGGCTGATACAACCAAAGAAAAGCTGGACACAGCCAGTGTCAATAGTATTCTCCACATTGCTGTGTTGAAAGTTCTGAAACAGAATTATTACATGGATTAGAGTGGATCTTTACAATCTCAAGAGCATGAGGTGCAATGGCTCTTGAGGCCTTGAGTTCTTGAGATGGTATAAGTAGGGACTATAAGAGGATGTTAACCAGACTTTTTCCGGGTTTGGGATAAACCCTCGGCGTGATTTGTCAAGTCTCGAGAAGATAGATTGAATAATTTACTTGATTGGTCAATGAATGTTTTTCGAATGAAGATTCGATTCGATTTGATGCAAGAAAAATAATCCGCTCTCGAGGCAATAAAATATTTTTATAAAGAAAACTTGTTAATCTAGTTACAACACCAGTCTCGCAAGAAAAAAAAAAAAAGAAAAAGAAAATGCGGTTGGTTCATCGATAGTTTGCACATACCTGAATGTCCGCAAAAGGACAAAATCGATAGTCAAATGGATGCCCCAAGGTAAATGTCTACGGGCATCGCAAGAGATTATAGGCTGACTACGGTAGTCTCATTTTATTTTGCATATAAATAAGAATGACTTCACGAAGATGAAACCGGTATGACGTGACGATATCCCTCCCTTCCTCTCTCTTCCCCCTTTAGATACAGAAACATACGGGAGGCATTTCGAAAAATTTACCGTAGGGTAAGCTCGAGATGTTCAATCATTAACATTGACCATTACTCGTCTTTTATGTAGTTTCATACTAATTTCTTCTAACGCTTTCAAAACATATACACGGGGTAATCGTTCATAGTCGACATTAGCGTCCAACGTAAGATAATTTATCTTCATTACACTAGTCGACGAGGCAGATTATCAACTATATTGATAAATGTAATTGTCGTTTACCTTGATAAAAAAATACATTTGATATTCAGGAAAATATTCGACTTGAAGAGGCTGTGGAAATCCGGAGAAGTTCGCGGTCTAACGAATAATAATTGGTTGGTTTCGCAATCTAACTGCAATCATTGAAATTAAGACAAGCGTTTCAAGGTTTCCTAGAAAAAATAATTATCGTTTCACTGCGTAACCAAATATAAATCAACATTTGACTGTAAACTTCGTCATGGGTGGCTGAACGCAATTAATTATCCAGCATGTTACGCAATGTTTTTAAATAATCCATGAATTCTAAATAAGCAAAGTTTTCCTGTTCGAAATTTCCAAGATTTATCGCGATAGCTTAAAAGAGATGTAAATAAAATCATTAAAACGGAATATCGTAGAAACATGCAGTCAGAACAATGATTCCAAGAACTAAATGTAAAACTTAACAAAGCATCGTATTAATAAGAAATTATTATGTAAGCATCTGCCCCCGCATTCGTGTCAGATCGGGTATTCGTGACACTGACCTTTTTCTTGATCTACTTGCCACTATTATATAGAACCGGTTGACCATCCAGTCGAAACATCCACATTCTCGAACTGAAATATTCTTTCACTCTTTTACGTTGTCACTTAGATATAAAACCAACCATCAAAGATACTTTTACAGAAATTACTCTAACCGTAATAAGTACATACGTATTTATCACATTTCAAGGAAACAAGTGTTAGCATTGGCCGTCAAGGACTTCCAAGAAAACTTCCAACAATTTCTTCATACCTTTATCTTCTTTTATATCTTTATAAACAGTGTGACACATGTTGTACCTAGAATTTCTCTATAGTTCCACAAGGTTTATTTACATAATTTACAAATTGATTTTTTTACAAAAATGAAAAGAACTAAAATTTATAATCATATTCCTATTACTTTAATTATTTAATTTCGTTAAACACCAAAAGGTATATAACTACAATACAATACATTACGTTCATGTAATAAGTCGTATATCAAAAACAATGGAGTACTCACTATAAATCGATCTTAAATATACGCTGCCGAGTTTTCTTCTGGAAAACACAACAGAACACAACAGAATGTCGAGCTCACGATTTCTTCGTTTGCACATATAGCAGCCAAGCTTCGAGCATTTATGAGAGTTGCCCCCACCACTGTTCATGATTTCATGATTCTCCATTCCAGCGTTCATATATAACGCGTATTATGTTTCCTCTGAACTCTTAACCCATTCGGTATCAACATGATCTTGCTCCCACCACTTAGGTGGTATTTCCCATGCGCAACCATGAAACATACGAGCAAATTTCTTTCCTTTTCGGAATAGGTAGGATTCCCTTTTTTAACAATCTCGTTATTACTTATAAATTTTTACGCTATTATTTATAAATTGTACAACTTTCTACAATACGTACGTCTTAACGCTGATTTCCAAAGGCTGTTGATATCCAAACTCGGAAGCTTATCTTTCGAGATATTCATAATAAAAACTGAACTTGATTTTCTCTTGGATTCGTTACCGAAACAAGTTTTCGTGAATTTAAACAGTGGTATTTCTATTAGTAAAAATAAAATTCTAACAGATCACTAACTTTGCGTATATCCATCGAGCGATAACCTCTCGAAGATTTGTATCTATCTCCATTTAATTTCAACTGCTGTTGCTTCTAAAGAACGTGTCAGGAATTCAATATGTTCTTAGAATTCGCCATTTTTTTATGTTAAGGTCAAGTAAACTCCTTAACTATTCTGATTTCAGTTACTCGTACATATTCCAAATAAAAAAAAGATACTAAAGTTATTTCTTTGTTGTTACTTTGTCATTTCTTTGTTGTTTTCAGCATATAGATCTAATGCAGACAAATCATTTTTGTTCGCACAATATCACCACAATTATATACTTTTCTCTATTTTCCTAGTTAAAAGCAACAAAGATAGACATATTATGACATACAGTGACATCGCGCGCAGAAATCGTTTGTATCGGACTTTACTTGAATAAATAATTTGACGTATAATAATTGATTTATTTTACACTAGATGTCGCGACAATGGATAGATGATATCGATGCAATTTAGATACGTTGTAAAAAATAGGTCGCAACAATGTCTCGTTAATCGTTCTTATCAACTCGTGAGATTTTACAATAATTGATATAACATTCACGTTATAATATATAGCGATGCATATCGTAGATAATTGATGGGAGAATATTATTATTATCTGAGAAAATATCATAATAGTGTGCATTGTTCACCTCCTAGTGACTCAAAACTGTAATCAATATTTTTCTAACCGAATGACATAGTTTAGTTTCATGGAATATTTAGAGGAAACATTTGTAGTTTTATAGGTTATGTTTGTTATTGCTTCGAACAAGTCGGTACACGTTGCGTTTATTCGAACATGAAATTTTTTTTTCTTTTTTATTATTTAATTTGTACTTTACAATTTATTCAGCCGGACATTTGCTAAATTTTTCTAACTTAATTGCTAAATAACATGTGGATGGCTATCCCCAGCAGGATACCAGACAGGATACCCAGCAAGATCTTCAAGTTTGACTATCTTATTTCTTTAGTGAGGTCAGTCGAGTGTTTTCTTTTTAGTCTTCTTTCTATGAGAGTTTTGCTCGCTTCAGCAGCCAACTGGTTTGAATAAGTTGCCGTTCTTCCTTTGTATTTTTCTGCTTACCTGCCAATTTCTTCTTTGACAATTGGTATTTTTAAATCTTTGCGTATATCCTCGTTTCTGACATATCATGGGCATTGACTATTATTCTCGGTATTTTCGAGTTCAGTAATTCTAGTTGATTTATGTAGCTCATTGTTGCTGTCGAACATAAAATATGGCTACGAGGAAAATTGATATAATAAGGGCAGAAAGGAAATAGAAATAAGTGCCGGCATGACAAAAATAATTTTACCAAACCGCTGAATTATCACATTCGTTACATTTACAAAGACGAATATTTTCTTGCGCTGTGTATTTTTTTATGGTACACAATTTTATACAGTAAATGAGACAAAAATATGCATCATAAATTAAAAAGACTAGATAAAAAATTTATAAACTATATTTATTTTCTATCACGCCCCGTAAGTTGCCAATTGTTGACCGATCCATTGCGAGTATTGCGCTACATTCGTGTAAACGGCGGGAATATTTGATGATCCGCAACCGATTCCCCAAGACACTATACCAGCCTAAGAAAAGAATAGAAGATAATTTTTGAAGATAATTTTTGAAGAAAAGAAGATAATTTTTGTACTTTTTTTTCTCATTTATAGGCACCTCTAGAACGTAATACTTGAAGTAATATGATACCTGAAAGTATTGTCCCGTGGCTGTAGGACACACAAGAGGTCCACCGCCGTCTCCACGACACGTGTCCCTATTTGCTTCTCCTCCAGCACAAACAAAGGAGCTATGTAGCTGAAAATACGTTCCTAATCTCGTCGTTCGAAGACGATTTTGACAATCAGTTCTGTCCACCAGAGGAAGTTCTACTTTCCTTAACTCAGTTTGATACGTTCCACCTGTGTTGTGACATTTGATTACGATTTGATAAATAGGAGGACGTTGCGATTATGTATAAATAGAAAAACATACAAATATCGTAATGATCTTACCGAACGAGTTCTTTCCCCAACCTGTGCCGATACACCTAGTACCAGCTGGAAATGTTAATCCCTGCTGCGGCATACAAATAGGGGCAACGTTGACATTCAATTTCACCGGTCCATTTAAAATGACCACTGCTATGTCATTGTATAGAGCAGCACTATAGAATTGGGGGTGGGTTATTATGGCTTTTATGTTTGCGTCTTGAAAGGGTAATGGTTGGTCGCCAGCTTGATTTTCCAGATCCCATTGACCAAAACGCGCTATCGGTCTACCATTTCCTAAACTAACAAGCTATATTTTAATATCCTTTTCTCGTAAATTTTAGTATTCAATAGTCAAGTTGAATTTTCAGTTATAAAATTTGCATAATCTGCTTACTTGGTAACACAATGCGCAGCCGTAAGGACAGCGCTCTTGGTAATCATAGATCCTCCGCATTGGAATAGATATTTACCATCTGATTCTATTGTTAACAGAGCTACCATCCACGGAAACTCGGCGAAATACGTTTTTCCAGTGTCCACAGGGTAAGGTTGGGCTGTGAGAAAATAAAACATCAGTTTCGATTAACTTAACGTTCCATTAATTTAACAAGACTCAACAATCATTTACAACAATCTATGTACCTGCCGCGTACGTTTTATTCTGAATACCACACCCAGGTTGCGAGAAGGACGCTTCACCATTTATAATACTCTCTCCTAATCCATCTAAATCGCGATTTCTTGCTATATTGATCGTAGAAGAGGCTCGACAACAAATTTCGTCCGTGTTTCCACACACGGAGAACCTTGGATCGATGGCACCAGCTCCACCCGTACTGACAGAGTTTCCTGGCGTGCACAACCAACTTTTCATGCAATAACAAGCCTGAGAAGTGCCAGGATTTCTAATGGGTCCGATTACCACTGGAATCCCATTTCCATAGCCTGTGTTTATTCCCTGACAGCAAGACGTTGGCACAGGGCACGTCTGTTGATTGTAAGTCACCAAAGGATTCACGATCCCGACGTTTACTGGAATCACGACCCCGTTGTTGCACTGGATTGCATTTCCACATAATACACAAATTTGTGGAGAGACAACCGGAGGATTGGTTACTACAGGATACTGGATCACGCTGGTCGGTCTGCAACACACCATGTTGCTGCTGGGACACTCGATATATTGCAGACGAGGATTGATTAAGCCTTCTCCGCCATAGCCGATGATTCCGTTTGCATTACATTGAGTTACAAGCACGCAGACACAGATCGGGTCAGGTTGAGGGTTTGTGGTTGGAAAAATCACCGGCGGGAGAGTCGAAGTGGTCGTAGTGGTGGCCTTCGTAGTGGTGGTTGCCTTCGTAGTGGTAGTTGTCTTCATAGTAGTAGTAGTAGGTTTCATTGTTGTAGTTGTAGTAGGTTTCATAGTAGTGGTGGTGACTGTTGCGTTCCGTAGATGACAACACACTTCCAAGTCTCCGGTGCATCTTCGGTATCTGTTTTGACATAAGAAACCATCAGTCAACCAAACGAATTAATTTTATCGGTGGTATAGAAAAATTTACCGAATGTCGATCATTCCAATGTTTTCTGTAATTATAGTACGGTTAGCGTCACATAGGTAGTAAGGAACGCAAATGCAGTCTGCGGTTGGCGGGGTGGTTGGCACATTCTCTATCTTCTGGATCTTTTTCTTCAGTTTGAGTAGATGAAACAAGAATAAGGGTGACGAGGCACTGTGAAACGTTCTGTCCGCTTTTCTCACTTCTTCGTTCGATTTGTTAGAAGATATTATTTTTGTAACCATCAAGAAGATCGTGATAAAATAAACTAGCACAAAAGGCCGCAGCATGGCTTGTTTTCTATTCGCTGGCTCGTTCTCTATTGAACGATTTTTAACACGACTCGTCATTTATGTATACAGGATGTGTCGGTTTCCTGACATACTAGGAATATCCAGATTTCATTCACAAGGCTAATAGGTTGTTTTATTATATGGACCAAGTTCTCAATTTTCTAAACAATAGCGCAACTACGTCATGGTTTATCCACTGGCTCGAAGATGCGGCCAGATAAAAATTAATAATGTTTACGAGCTCCTCTTTCTGTTTGGTTATTCTATATTTAGTGAAGAGCTATTTTGATACGCTAGGCTTGTCTATAATAAAATCATTCACAATATCCACTTATACTGGAGCGATTATTTGAGCAACTCGTCGTAACGAATACAAAGAGTGACCCACTTACCTAGTAAACCATCGGCTATCACAAAAGTATCGGCATAAAATATTATGACTAGCTACGAGGAGTTAATCTGCGCGCGAAATAAATAACTTGCTTTTAAATAGCGTCGGATAAATTAACTTGGGTGTTCTTGATGTCGATGTTTGAAATTAAATTTGAAGACGGAGAGGGAATGTCGGATTAAGAAGAAAAGATATTACGTTTTAGTCGCGGTGCAAAAAGTGCTACAAAAATCCTCCTGACGGTTAATCATCGAAACGCAGCGACGTAATTGCTTCTACCGGTTGGAAGCGTGCGAAACGATTTGTGCTCGGC